TGGCAGGCCTGGGGTTGACGAGTTCCCTTCCCCCCTCGAATTGTGTGACGGTTGATTATCTTTTTAAATTCTCTTGTACTTTGTTTGTTGTATTCCCTTCTTGTTTACCTCCCCTCCCCTTTGGGTTTGTTAGCCACCCTGAGTCCCTCCGGGAATAGGGCGGCATATAAATACAATCAACCTTCAACCTTCAACCTTCAACCTTCAGTGTACAGGTAGTCCTCGAAATATGACTGCAATGGAGCCTGTCCATTATGATTGCATGTTGCAGCAGTTGTTACCTAACAACCTTGCCATCCCTGTTCTCAATGAAAGATTAAATGAACATGTGGATCATTAAGTGGAGTGTGGGATGCCTTCTAGTTGGTGGAGGCATTGGAGGCTCTGGCCCAAGGTCTTCCCCATGCCCTATGCTCCACTTCCTGTGCCTTGGGTCCCTGTGTGAGTTTTCCCATTCCCACCAGAACTGATATGGAAGATGTTAAACCATCAGATACCTTCTGCCTTTTAGGATCAACTCTCAACAGTAACAAGACCCCCCCTCCCAGTAATATTAAAAAAATAATTTTCAAAAACACACACCACAGACTAGTACTTGGTGCAATAGTAGTAAAGGCCTTGGAAAAGATATTCACATGTCTGTACTATAAAGCTCAAAATCTTACAGATAATTATTTTTCTCTGTGACCCTCTATGGAAACAAAAGTTGGATTTCGAAGAAGCAGGATACAAAGAGCATTGATGCTTTTGAACATTAGTATTAGAGAACGCGCTTAAGAATTCTGTGAGTAGCTAAGAAAATAAACACATCAAAGAACAAATCACTTCTGACACAAATCAAGGTTCAAATTCCATTTTAGTTTGCAAATATTTAGCTCTGTGGGAAGTCTATAATGTTGGGAAAGATGGAAGAAAAGTACAGAAGAGGATAACTAGCAGCAAGGTAGGCAGGCAGGCTTGATTACCATGGGAATGAGTCTACTGGTGGAAGACCTGAAGGCCCGGTTGGGGATCAGATTATTCTGGAGAAGGTCTATCTACGTGGTTGTTAACACCAAGTTATAGCATATAAATAATCAGTTAAGTCGTGTGTTTTTGAAGAAACCTTAAGGAAATAGAAACTGACTTTACACAATACAAATATATAAATGCAGCTTCTTTCTTCTAATATAAATGCATGCTTACTGTTTACAGATTTAATGTGGCAAGCACAGAGACAACTTTTCTTTTCCTATGGTAGAAATAGTAACTTATAAACATTTAATAATGTTTTGGGAATTTTTTTCCCTACTCTTTGCAGAATTCTTCAAACTCAGAAACATTCTTGGATCTTGTATGTATTGAATGTTTGAAATCCCTTCACAAATTTTCAATAGTATTTAAGTCTGGGGACTGCAAAAGCCATTCCAAAACCTTTATTTCTCTTTCCTGTAAGTATTTCATATTTAATCCTTAGCTATTTTTCTGATTGTTATCTTTCTGAAAGATCCAACCTCTTTTGAGCTTCACATACGTATTTTCTTGTTCTTTCTTCTACAAGAACTCTGAATAATTCTTTCCTCTCTTCTAACGTGACAGGCCTTTGGATACTTGAACACAGCTGTCTTTTCTTCTCCAGCCTAAATATATCCATATCTCCAACCATTCCCCAAGTATTCACTTCCAGGACCCTTTTAATCTTACTTTGGACACAATCCAGTTTGTTCCTTTTTAAAATGGTTGTTCAGAACTGAATATAGTATTCTAGGTGTAGACCGTTTACTTCAGAATAGAGAGGAACAGAATGTAACTCTGATGCAGTTTCAAACTGCATTTGCTTTTTTGGGAATTGCATTATTCTAGCTGATACGCAATTTGTGATCTGCCAAGAAAACCAAATCCTTTTTTGCAAGTACAAGTGCCTAATAAGGTTACCCTCCCCCCTCCCATGACCTTGATTTTTCCTACCCAAGTTTAGCTTTGGGTTTCTCTTCGTTGGTGTTCATCTTGTTGGTTTTTACCCATTGTTTCAGCTTGTAAAGGCACTCTTAATCCTGTTTCTGTCCTCTAATGCATTTATTATCTCTTTTGTATGATCTTGTAAATTTGATGTTTTCTCTATCTGCCATCTAAGTTATTAGACAATGGAGCTTTGTAGTTCTCCATTTGACGCTTCTCTTCTACTGAATGTGGAGATAATGATGTATGCTCATTGGATATAATTTTTCATCCAGTTTTAAATCCATTTAAAAGCATTCCTTGTACATTTCACTGCTAATACATTAAACAAGGGAATGCCACAAATGCTTGACTTGAACTTGTTGAGCTATTTGCCGAGAATTCAGTTTATTTGTACTCATACTTTACTTTCATCACATAAATACTGCTATTACTGTATTCAGTAAAGAATCTTCAACACCATGTTTGCAAAAAATGTAATACTTCAAGGCTATTCATTTTATCACATGCTTTATCTGAATTGGCAGATTCATGTTTGCATTGAGAGAAATAATATAACTCATCTTTTCTCTAAATGTATGTAGAAAATCATGGCTTTAAAAAAATTCTTTACAGATTTGTTCATTTTTTTTTGTATTTCGTTATCTTTTTCACAATTGGCAGTGTTTTAGGTCAAAAACAAGTGAACTACATATATGCTTAATGGCATGTGTGAACTCTGTCAGTATATTTCAGTGCAATTCTGTTAGAACATAATATGTTATTTGAGTCTTGTTCGAGTCATTTATTCACAGGTCCTGGGTGTGGCTATAATAATGTAAGTCTTTCAGATGGGAGGAGGGGAGAAACTGCACTGCTTTTGTTGTTTGAGTACCTGGGAGGAAGGAGATACTGGGGGGGATAATCCATCAGTGATTGAGCCATTTAAACATTAAGTCAACTGTATGTAGTCTGCTTTTGTTTACAAACAGTTTTCTATAAGAATATCTGTTCTTAATTTCAGCATACATAAGACTTTAAATGAGTGGTTTATTTTCTCTGTCATTTTCAAACTTGGGTACTTATAAACAACTTTCAAACCATTAAAGATGATTATTTACTTTCATTATTCTACTACAGAAGTATATTTTAAATTGTTAATAGTTTCAAAAAAGGCTTTATTGTACTGCTTCCAGATGTTTTATCAAATACAACATTCATGACATCTCTGTTCCTCTTGTTAAGATTCTAGAGTTTTATAAGTCAGTCTCTAGAATGTTCAGAATGTGTAACATTGCACATTGAAATATAATCAATATATGAAAAAGTTATAATATAATAAAGAGAGGTGATGAGTAAAATGCTGCAGTCAATATGGTGATTAAAACTTTTTTTAAAAAAAATGTATGATTAAAACTAAGATTTTGGAAATAAATGTTTATGGATGGGAAAAGAAAAAAAAACCTTTCTGGAATAGTTTAATAACTTCTAGTGAGTTACATTCTCCCCTCCCTCTCCAAGAATTCTTTGAAGCACTTGATTAATTTAGTATGTGTTATAAATCTACAATGGACTCTTTTGCTTAATATTTATATAGAAGAAAACTCACTTGTATGTTAGAAAGCTAGCAAGACTATAGTGGTGAGAGAAAGTTTGTGACCACTATCTGTAAGTTTGCACATCAGTGACCTACAAGAACTCCATCTAATTCTTTTAAACAGGTAAAAAGATTCTGCTTAAACAAACACCATTATAGCATGGGCTGGTATGGCTTGCAAGCATTGACGGAACAGTGGATTCTGGATTGTACCAGCAAATTCTACAGAAGAATGTCAAAGTATCCATCAGTGGACTAAAGTTTAAATGAAAGTGAGTCATGCAGCTCAAGAGCAATTCTAAATCAAAAAACATTGGCTGGAGAAGAAGAAATCTTGCATTTTTTAATAATCAAGCCTTGATATTAAACAAATTAAAATGATGTGGCATGAAGGCATGCCTTGTAGCACATAGCTCATAGAAATACAAAGATGCAATGGAAAAAAAAATGAAAGTTTTGTAAAATAAAATGGGTGAAAATACTTCCAAGCTGATGAATCGGATTAAGTAAGAATATTGGAAACATATTGTTGAAATCAGCGGTGCTAAAGAGATGCCACTATAACTAAATCTGAAGCTTCATATACTTTTCTCAACAATGACCATGAATGTTGATCAGAACCTGTTTAACCTTGATGAATCTCTAATCACACAATTTATAGGTATTTTTAAATGGGTTACAAACTTTATCTCACCACTAAATATAATTACATCTCGTTTTCAAAGCATATTCCTCAACAAAACAACTGGGTAGAAAATTCATCTTATTTTCCAGCAGCATTTGGTAGTATAGAAGTGCTTTTTCAATTCATCTGAATCTGATAATGTGACAAATGGGCCAGGTAGCAAAGTAGCTGTGCAGAGTTCTATATAAAATGGGTGGCTCAATGGCTAAAACGCTGAACTTGTCAATCAGAAAGTCGGCAGTTCGGCGGTTTGAATCCCTAGCACTGTGTAATGGAGTGAGCGCCTGTTACTTGTCCCAGCTTCTGCCAACCTAGCAGTCCGAAACCATATAAAAATGCAAATATAAAAATAGGAACCACCTTTGGTGGGAAGGTAACAACGCTCTGTGCCCCTTCGGTGTTTAGTCATGCTGGCCACATGACCACGGAGACGTTTTCGGACAGTGCTGGCTCTTCGGCTTAGAAACTGAGATAAGCACCGCTCCTAGAGCCGGAAACGACTAGCACGTATGTGCAGGGCAACCTTTACCTTTATATATAAATTAACAAAACTACTGAAACAACTTGTAAAAGATTTTAGTGCTTTGGCAGTTAAAAGTGAGCTGCTTTGTTTATGTTTTAATAAGCCTATATCAAAGATAAACAACAGTGAGTGCTATAAGCATTTATAGATTTGCTGCTGTATGATTGCATTTTTATTCACAAATTTATTATAGGATTTGTCAAAATTTTATATTCAAACATACTGAGTTAGAATGTGTCCAGTATATCAAGTGTCATATATTTATATATGTAAAAATAAGTTTTTAACAAAAAATCATATTGTTTACAGGAAAAGCTGTTTCATAGTGCTGATGGTCATTCTTGGTAGTTCCTGCTGAAGTGGATAAAATCTGAGACAGCATGGAGACGAAATAGACTTCATCATAGAAAAGTAAATACACAAATTTGTTTGATGTATATATTTTAATTGTATGATAAGTCTATAATTCGATATTTGGGAGGACCTATAATACTGGCAGTATCTGAATTTCATTGGGAATTGTGTGTGCACAGATATATAAAATGAGCTTGCTTATCATAAATCTTAATGTGACTGATTTACACACACACACACACACACACACATACACACACACACTACTTTAAATGACCAAATTCCTGACATGTAGGGGTGTTACTTGGAACCCTGACAGTCATTTTATTTTATAAAGTACTATGGTTAATTAAAAAAATTTGAGTGTAAGAAAAGAAAAGGGAAATAATGTTTGAATTGATGCTTGTTATAGTACACAATGATTTAACATTAGATGTGGACTAGATAAAGGCTTTGTGATTAGCAATTCTTCTAAAGAGCTAAGAATGGGGTTTTTTAAATAATTCATTCTATTTAATCTCTTTTTAAAGATTTCTTGCTGAAACAATTTACTTCAAAGAGTGCAGGATGACTGATCGTGGAATAAAATGGGCTTGTGAGTATTGTACATATGAAAACTGGCCATCTGCGATCAAGTGTACCATGTGCCGTGCTCAGAGACCTAGTGGAACTATTATCACAGAAGATCCATTTAAAAGTACTTCAAGTGATGTTGGTAGAGACTGGGATCCTGCAGGTATTGAAGGAGGCAGCAGTCCTTTGATATGTCCAGATTCTAGTGCAAGACCAAGAGTTAAGTCATCTTACAATGTCGAAAGTACAAATAAGTGGTCATGTCACATGTGTACTTACTTGAACTGGCCTCGTGCAATAAGGTGTACTCAGTGCTTGTCTCAGCGTAGGACCAGGAGCCCCACAGAATCCCCCCAGTCTTCAGGATCTGGTACAAGACCAGCTTCTTTTTCTGTGGATCCTTGTGAGGAATACAATGATAGAAATAAATTGAACATAAGGACACAACACTGGACTTGTTCTGTTTGTACCTATGAGAATTGGGCTAAGGCCAGAAAATGTGTTGTCTGTGATCACCCACGGCCCAACAACATTGAAGCAATAGAACTAGCAGAAACAGAACAGGCTTCTTCCATAATAAATGAGCAGGAAAGAACTCGTTGGAGAGGAAGCTGCAGTAGTGGAAATAGCCAAAGAAGGTCACCTCCCACCGCTAAAAGAGAATCTGAAGTGAAAATGGACTTTCAGAGAATTGAAGTGGCTGGAGCTGTTGGCAGCAAAGAAGAACTTGAAGTTGATTTCAAAAAACTAAAACAAATAAAAAACAGAATGAAGAAGACTGACTGGTTGTTTCTCAATGCTTGTGTTGGTAAGTTTTGTTATTTATTTCACTTGCAAAGGAAAAACATGTGCATGCTGATTGCCAAATTTCCTACAGAGCTAGGATTAATTGCAAAGAAATACACAATCAAAATATTCACAAATATACATATATTTTGAACACTGTGAACAAATTATGCTAAAAGAATAGACAATTTTTTTTAAGCATTTGGAGTTGTACTGCAATATAAAATGAAACTTAACTGTATTTCCATGATCATTTCTTAATTTTCTATCTAAAATTCTGTTGTTCTTGAAATGGCAAGATGTATTTTAGAATTTGTTTTAGTTCATAAGCATTCATAAGCATGTATATTTCTCATAAGGCAAACATTAAGGTAAAAAAAATAAAGAGGCATGTATCTCTTGAAGCATACTGCTTTATTTTGAAATGCTGACCACACTAGTAAAGTCTTTGAATTTCCTCAAGTAATTTAGCATAGATGCAGTCAATCTTTTTAGGTTAAGGATGCCTGTAGTATTATGCCAAGTCTCTAATGGCACATCTTCCATCATGGATGTAAGAACTTATGAATGAGTACAGAGTCCTTTTTTCCTTATACACAGGTAATTCTCAACCTATGACCACAATTGGGAACCTGAAACTCAATATTTGAGCAAAGTGGTTGTTAAATGAGACATCATGTGACGGCTTTGCTTAACAGTCCCAGTTCCAGCAATTGTGGTCATTAAGAGATCATTCAGGTCATTAAGTGGATGGAGTCCCAGATAAGGAGTGCAAGTGGAGAAGTGCCTTGGGGGTTGTGAACACAAACCCCCGGAGACTCTGCTTAGGAGCTGAAATGTTCCCTGTTGAAATCCAAGCAGGAATCTGAGCTCCTTAGCAGAGAGACACTTACACGCAGCTTGTGTCGGCCCTTCCAGGGCTTCCCTCACATCCCTGAGTCATCTCATGCACTTTTTCTTACTGTGATACCTCTCTGTTCAAGAGCTGAAAATCCTCCCTACCAAAATCCAAGCAGGCTTTTCAGCCCCTGAACAAAAGATTGTGAGTGACCTTGCTGGACGTCCCAGGACCTTCCCCAACCACCTGAGGAACCCTGTACTCCTTATCTTTACTGTGTCCACTCTCTGTTCATCTGCTTGCATTTCAGCTTCCTCTCGTCTCGGGGGGGTTCGCTGAAAGGGCTGCCTGCTGAAGGAGATTAGCTCCCCTTCCCTGCTCAGAAGGAAACTTCTTTGGCAGAATGCAGGAAAGGAGCCAAAACCTTCAGGATTTTGCCTCTATTTCTACATCCTGCTGAAAGAGTTCATCTCTCAGGGGGAGGCAGCACTTTCGGCCAAACCCCCCCCCCCCCAGAGATGAGAGTACACTGTAAATGTTATTCTTTTCATGTTCTAACCAACTATTTTTGCTACCTACTTTTTATTATTCCTGGCACTGTTGCTATTTCCCCTATTTCAGTACTCTTCTTCTTTAGTCTTTATTCCCAAATCACATTTGCCCAAAGTATAATTGATAGTTGGAAGAACTCCCATACCGGATACCAATAATTCCCATCCAGTGTGGTTGCTCCAGTAAGTCTAAAGGTGCCATGCTACTGAAGTTCAATCTAGTAAATAGAGTGTACTTTAGCATTACTTTGAATTAAATTGATACAGGAGCAGTTTATGTATGTGAATTTTGTTGGAATCAGAACTAGGGGTGCAAAGCTTCCCTCCATAAATGCTGTGATCTTGTTGAAAAATAGAAGTTGTATCAAAAGCTTCCCTCCATAAATGCTGTGATCTTGTTGAAAAATCTTGTTCAAAAATCTTCATGGAAAAGTTGAGCACTACCAATAGCAATAGCACTTAAGATTTATATATCACCCCATAGTGCTTTACATCTCTCCCTGGGCAGTTTACAAGGTCAGCGTATTGCTTGGAAAAATCTGGGTCCTCATTTTACTGACCTTGGAAGGATGGAAGTCTGAGTCAACCTTGAACCCCATTGGGATCAAATTCCAGGCGGTGGGCAGAGTTTGTCTGCAATGCTGCATTTTAAACACTACAAAACCAGGGCTACTTTTGTTGTTACAGGTTACTTATACAAAAACATCTTAAGCAGTTGGTCATGTAAAGTAGGTACCAGATCAATTCCACATTTGAAATGTTACTGCAAATACATAAATATTTATTGTGTAGGAGAAAAAATGATGACTTCCTGGTCAGAAAAGCAAGTTAAGATTTCTAGCAATTAATGTTATGAGTGCTTTCCTCCATTTATTGCATAAATGGTATTCTGGCAGTGTATGTGATTCTATCTTTTGGGAGATCTCAATCATCTACTGAAGGGTAATGTATGTCTTTATAGGGTAAGACCAGCTAATGCTAGAAAAGAAAAGCTGCAATAAGCCAGAGTAATATTTGTCTTAGTGAATTTGTCTTCTTAGGGAAGATTAAGAGCTATCTAGTAAGATGAAGTGGACCAAAGATGTTTCCCCCCAAATTAGTTTTAATTTGTATCTGAAGTGACAGAACTTCAATATGCTCCTAAGGAGATGCAGCCTAATTCCACTCAGTTAAAGATGGAATAAAGAACCCATTATTATCTTTAAATTGCAGATTGGGTAAACTCTAATCTAAAAACTGTTATAAATTCATAACCAAACCTCATGTAGCAATAGCAATAATAACAGTAGACTTATATACCGCTTCATAGGGCTTTCAGCCCTCTCTAAGCGGTTTACAGAGTCAGCATATTGCCCCCAACAACAATCCGGGTCCTCATT